ACTGCTGCAACACTAGGTCCCAATCACTGGAGTGCTCATTTACGAATTTAGGTATCATGGCCCCCAAGGTTCCATTAAACTTCTCCAACAGGCCATTTGTTTGATGGTGGTAAGGGGTGGCAACCAAGTGATTTACCCCATGAGCTTCCCATAGGCTTTCCATAGTTCCTCAGGAAATTAGTTCCTGCATCTGGCCAACCTACCCTGGCAAAAATGTCTGTTAGTGCCTGGCACACACTTTTAGCCCTGGTGTTGCTTAGAGCTACTGCTTCTGGCCATCGGGTGGCAAAATCCATGAAAAGCAGTATGTACTGCTTTCCTCTGGGTGTCTTTTTCGGAAAAGGACCCAGAATATCCACAGCTACTCACTGAAATGGAACCTCAATGATGGGGAGTGGCTGGAGAGGGGCTTTGACCTGGTCTTGGGTTTTTCCCACTCTTTGGCATACCTCACAGGATCGGACATAGACAGAAACATCCTTGCTCATTCCCTCCCAGTGGAATGACCTCCCCAAATGGTCTTTGGTCCTGTTCACCCCAGCATGGCCACTAGGATGATCGTGGGCTAAGCTCAAGAGCTTTTCCCGGTACTTAGTTGGAACTACCAACTGTCTCTGAGGATGCCAGTCTTCCTGGTGCCCACCAGAAAGAGTTTTCTTGTATAAAAGTCCTCTGTCTACAACAAACTGGGATCGATTAGAAGAGTTGAGAGGCGGTGGGTTGCTCCATGCCTCCGACCAAGCTCTCTGGAGGCTTTCATCTGCTTCCTGTTCAGCCTGGAATTGTTCCCTTGATGCTGGAGATGTTCCTCACTGGATTGTGGACCTGGGCTTGGTCCCTCTGGAAGTGTTGCAGGTGATAGGGCTGTTTCCATTGACGGTGAACTGCTCTCCGCTGGTGCACTATGGGGTATTTCAAGCTCTGGCTGAGCCTCTTGTGTAGGGTCATCTGCTGCTGCTGCCAGTGCAGTCTTGGTGGTGTAGACGAGGTTGCAAGCGCTGGACTCAGTACTGGCAATGGTTCTGGTGCTGGTTGCTTCACCAGTTTCGTTTCAGGGACTGGCGTTAGCTGGGTCTTTGGGACTGGATCCACTACGGCCGTTGCAGTTGTTGGCAGGGAATCCGGTTCCACCACCTCCATCTGGGTCTCTAGTATCACAGACGGGGCCCTGGTGGAAGGCTCAGGAACAGGGATACGTGTGGAAGCTTGTTTAGTCTGGCTGCAGGTGACCATTTCCACCCTCTTGGCCAGCTTTACCTGGTTGGCCAAGTCTTCCCCCAGCAGCATGGGAATGGGATAATCATCATAGACTGCAAAAGTCCACATTCCTGACCAGCCCTTGTACTGGACAGGCAACTTGGCTGTAGGCAAATCGAAAGAGTTGAACTTGAAGGGTTGAATCCTTCAAGGGCCGGATGAGTTGCATCCGAGAGTGCTGAAGGAACTGGCGGCTGTGATTGCAGAGCCATTGGCCATTATCTTTGTAAACTCGTGGAAAACCGGGGAAGTCCCGGATGACTGGAAAAAGGCTAATGTAGTGCCAATCTTTAAAAAAGGGAAGAAGGAGGATCCTGGGAACTACAGGCCAGTCAGCCTCACTTCAGTCCCTGGAAAAATCATGGAGCAGGTCCTCAAAGAATCAATCCTGAAGCACTTGCATGAGAGGAAAGTGATCAGGAACAGCCAGCATGGATTCACCAAGGGAAGGTCATGCCTGACTAATCTAATCGCCTTCTATGATGAGATTACTGGTTCTGTGGATGAAGGGAAAGCAGTGGATGTATTGTTTCTTGACTTTAGCAAAGCTTTTGACACGGTCTCCCACAGTATTCTTGTCAGCAAGTTAAGGAAGTATGGGCTGGATGAATGCACTACAAGGTGGGTAGAAAGCTGGCTAGATTGTCGGGCTCAACGGGTAGTTATCAATGGCTCCATGTCTAGTTGGCAGCCGGTATCAAGTGGAGTGCCCCAAGGGTCGGTCCTGGGGCCGGTTTTGTTCAATATCTTCATAAATGATCTGGAGGATGGTGTGGATTGCACTCTCAGCAAATTTGCGGATGATACTAAACTGGGAGGAGTGGTAGATACGCTGGAGGGGAGGGATAGGATACAGAAGGACCTAGACAAATTGGAGGATTGGGCCAAAAGAAATCTGATGAGGTTCAATAAGGATAAGTGCAGGGTCCTGCACTTAGGACGGAAGAACCCAATGCACAGCTACAGACTAGGGACCGAATGGCTAGGCAGCAGTTCTGCGGAAAAGGACCTAGGGGTGACAGTGGACAAGAAGCTGGATATGAGTCAGCAGTGTGCCCTTGTTGCCAAGAAGGCCAATGGCATTTTGGGATGTATAAGTAGGGGCATAGCGAGCAGATCGAGGGACGTGATCGTTCCCCTCTATTCGACATTGGTGAGGCCTCATCTGGAGTACTGTGTCCAGTTTTGGGCCCCACACTTCAAGAAGGATGTGGATAAATTGGAGAGAGTCCAGCGAAGGGCAACAAAAATGATTAGGGGGCTGGAACACATGAGTTATGAGGAGAGGCTGAGGGAGCTGGGATTGTTTAGCCTGCAGAAGAGAAGAATGAGGGGGGATTTGATAGCTGCTTTCAACTACCTGAAAGGGGGTTCCAAAGAGGATGGCTCTAGACTGTTCTCAATGGTATCAGATGACAGAACGAGGAGTAATGGTCTCAAGCTGCAGTGGGGGAGGTTTAGATTGGATATTAGGAAAAACTTTTTCACTAAGAGGGTGGTGAAACACTGGACTGCGTTACCTAGGGAGGTGGTAGAATCTCCTTCCTTAGAGGTTTTTAAGGTCAGGCTTGACAAAGCCCTGGCTGGGATGATTTAACTGGGAATTGGTCCTGCTTCGAGCAGGGGGTTGGACTAGATGACCTTCTGGGGTCCCTTCCAACCCTTATATTCTATGATTCTATGAATCGTCACTTGGGCCTCTGGGTTGATTAAGTTGGGGTCCACTAAGGACTAATGGATAGCTGACACCTGCGCTCCAGTGTCCCTCCATGCTGTAACCTTCTTCCCGCCCACACTCACAGTTTCCCTTCACTCTAAGGGTATCTGGGAGGCATCTGGGCCTGAGGACCTTTGGTGTGACCCCAGTGCAATGAACTGTAATCTGTTGGGGTTCTTGGGGCAGTTGGCCTTCACATGCCCCAGCTCATTACATTTAAAACATCGCCCAGTTGACTGGTAACTGGGGCGAGGTGGGTTGCTGGAGAATGGTGTGGTGGGACGATAAGGTGTCTGGGGTTTTCCTTGGGATGTAGGTGGGGCCTTGGGTTGCCCCCGGTGATAGGGTTTTGTTTCAGATTGCCCCTTCTGATATTTGCTCCAACTGCTACTGTTTTTTTTTCTTTTCGGCCACCTCCACCCATTTGGCTCCAATCTCCCCCGCCTCGATTACAGTTTTGGGCTTCCCATCTAGGATGTACCTTTCTATTTCCTCAGGAACACCCTCTAAGAACTGCTCCATTTGCATTAGGAAGGGCAACTCTTCTGGAGATTTAACACTTGCTCCTGATATCCAGGCATCCCAATGTTTCACAATGTGGTAGGCATGTCAAGTAAATGACATGCCTGGTTTCCACCTTAGGGCTCTGAACCGCGGATGGGAATGCTTGGGTGTTAGTCCCATTCTGACTCTCATCTGGGTTTTAAAAAGTTCATAACTGTTCATGTGTTCCTTAGGCATTTCAGCTGCCACCTCTGATAAGGGTCCACTGAGCTGCGGCCTCAGCTCTACCAATGGAGTGGTCTGTAGAGATGCTGTACCCAAGGCAGGACCTTTCGAAGTTTTCTAAGAAGGCCTCGGTATCATCGCCTGCCTTGTAAGTGGGGAACTTTCTGGGAAGGAAAAGGGTACCTGAGAAGGATTGCTAGGGTTGGTTGGTATATTCTGCTGAGCCCTTGCCTTCTCCATCTCCAGTGCATGCTTCCTCTCTTTCTCTTTCTCTTTCTCTTTCTCCTCCATAGCTCTCTTGTGGGCAGCTTCCTCTGCCTCCACAGCTCTCTTGTGGGTAGCTTCCTCTGCCTCCACGCAGGCTTTTTCTGCCTTCATCTCCAAGCACCTTAAGGCCATCTGTCTATCATGCTCTTTTTGTTTCTCTTCAGCTTCAAATCTTGCCAGCTCTAGTTTATTAGCTGCTTCACTGGTAGTCATTTTCCTGCTTTCTTGTGCTTAACTCTAGCTATACCCGAGAGTTAGGGGGGGAAAAAAAAACTTGTGAATTTCCCTGCAGGAGGTTAACTACCCTGCCTTTAGGTAGAGAAAACTCCAGCTCAAAAAAGAAAAATCCCTTTGTAAAAAAACTAACACCTCTGTCTCCAGGCAAATAGACAGAAAACCCTCAAGCTGCTCTCAGCTTAAAAACAAACCTCTTCAGGTCTGTGCTTTTGGTTCAAAATGATCTCTGGTTCAAAATGATCCCACCGCTCTGCCACCATGTCAGGTGCCAGCAAGGTTAGCTGAGCTTCTTAACCCTTTACAGGTAACAGGATGTTGCCTCTGGCCAGGAGGGATTTTATAGCACTGTAACAGAAAGGTGGTTACCCTTCCCTTTATATTTATGACACCCCCCATCTCCTGCTTCCAATGACATTGTCCCCCAACCTGTCACCTGCTCCATCTGACCCCTTCTAGCAACCAAGTCCTCCATTCCAATAAGCAGAGATAGAATTTCAAATGAGACTGCATCTTCTGCAAAGTATTTCAGGAATGATGGGGAATTAAACTTCAAATAGTAGGTTTCCTTTTTTTTCATTTCCAAACATAAAGACATCATGCAACTTGTCATGTTAATGTTAAAAAATCTCCTTCATACTCTTCCGATTTTAATAATTAATAATGACGACAGTGAATTTTGTGCTCTCATATGGCACCAGGCTGACACTCCAGGAGTCTGATCTCCACTGTTTACCAAGCCATGGAATACAGAGTACACATGCAACACAGAAAAACGAAAGGTGAAATGCTGTACCTATTTTCACAGTAAATGATATTGAGGTCCATATTTACGCGAGTAACAAACATGTGGCAGTCGATTCTGACTTCATTGATTGTAGGAGGTGGCAAAGCATGAGCCACAACTACAAGCCCCATGATTTGGCTAGGGACTGTCCTCCCATGGGACAGTGACACTCTCAGTCGTAACCGGCCTGTTATATGGATCACCTGCAAAATAAAAAGAATAAAAGAAACCCCTGTGAATTCATGATGCAAATGTGACATCATCTTTTTTAAAGGACAACATTGTTATTCTAAAGAGCACTTTACTCCATCAAAAATTATATTTAGTAACTGCCAGGATCAGTGTTAAGCTTATTAATATTGGCTGTCAACATGTTCTAAATGTCCTCATGGCAAGAAAGAAGAAAAGTACATAATAGCCAAATGTTTCAATTTATCAAATCTAAAACTCAGAACTTCTGTGTTATTGATTTTTTTTCAAAGAAAGAAAGGACAAATTAGAAAATCAAGGGAATGAAGTAAGAGATATAAAATTGAAGTAATGGGGGTAGAAAGGGAAGACTAATTTTAAAACATTTGGAGATTAAAATGTGAGACAAAAGGAGCAGCATTTTTGAAACTTTTCCAGGACCCATTTAATTGAATTGCCAGTCATCTACATCTTAGAGACACTACTTACATCCTTGAATTACTTCTTTGTGGTTGGCAATACAAGAAGCATGAGCCTGCAAGTGATCAATGGGTTCAACTGCGCAGACACCAAGCATTTTACAGCTGCAGAGTTACTAGTCAAGCCTTGATTTAGCTTAATGCACTGTGCATGCGCTGAGAACTTTTGGAGCTGAATGAGAGGCAGAGGTTTTCGTTCCCCTATTTACACGATGAACACTAAGCAAAATTGTTAGGATACAGATATGCAGGCCTGTCTGTAAAGACCTATACACTAAGAATTTAGGTGTATTCTTATCACTTAGCTAGTTATAGAGGTATAAAAGAAAGAATCAAAATCACTGTCTGCCGGTGTAATTTCCTTCTCTTACTGTGACAGTCTGAGGCCCTGTTCTTAGGCTAAGGCCTTTGGCTAAGCAGCAGAAGCAGCCATAAGCTGGGAAACGAACGGTCACATCCTCACATTCCAAACTAGTCACACTGAAATAAGGTGCTATTGGGCTGTTAGGAATACAATCCTGTCCTATCACCTCCAGAGAAAGGGAAGTGCCTAGAAAATGTAAAAGGAAACTTAGTGTGATAGCATCCTGTCTGGCAAGAACTCACTTACCAATAGCTGGGATGTGAAATCCTCACTTCTGTATTGTTTTGTCATTATAGTTCCCACTTTGCTATTGTTTGTCTGTATAATCTCTGTCTGGTTCTGTGATTGTTTCTGTCTGCTGTATAATTAATTTTGCTGGGTGTAAACTAATTAAGGTGGTGGGATATAATTGGTTACATAATCATGCTACAATATATTAGGATTGGTTAGTTAAATTTCAGGAAAATGATTGGTTAAGGTATAGCTAAGCAGAACTCAAGTTTTACTATATAGTCTGCAGGCAATCAGGAAGTGTGGGGGGGAATGGGAACAGGGAATGGGGTTGGGGAAATTGGAATCATGTTTTGCTGGGGAGGAATGGGAACAGGTAATGGGGGTGGGGAAACTGGAATCATGTTTTACTAAGTGGGGGAACGGGAACAGGTAAGGCTCTGTGGTGTCAGAGCTGGGAAGAGGGACACTAAGGAAGGAAACTGGAATCATGCTTGTGGAAGTTCACCCCAATAAACATCAAATTGTTCACACCTTTGGACTTCGGGTATTGTTGCTTTTTGTTCATGCAAGAAGGACCAGGGAAGTAGTGGGTAAAGGAATAAGCCCCTAACAAAAATACACCCAGGAGATCCAGCTGCTCCATTTGAGATTGCAACTCAGTGCTGCTTGCTGAAGCTGAATGATTATGAAACTATGGGAAAGGACTGACCTATAATTTCTGACTCAGCTGCCTCAGAAGCCTTACTGTGGACAGATAAAATGATGTTCTTTGAAAAAAAATTAAAATGAATAGTACCTGTGACAGGTATCAGACTGGCAGCTCTGGAGACTGCAGGCCTATATTCGCACAACAGGGACATCATGGGCAGTGGCAGTGCCAACTGTCCCTACCTTTTATCCTGCCAGCATCTCAGTATCAGCCTGGAAAGAAGGCCTCGAGGACAGAGAATTCAGGCTCCATGATGCATTCAGCCCTCAGCATCTCTATTGAGAGTACCAACAAAGATGCCAACATGTGCCAGTTGTGATGGTGTGGATACATATCCACCGGGAACTGAAACTCATTTCACAAAGATTAGATAACAGTCTGCAGCTTTTGGTCACTACGGATATAAGAGCTATTCTTAGTGGTGAGTGAGAGGTAAAAGGCTCTGTGTTCCATTGGCAATCTCTTAAACCATGTAGTGCACCCAAAATTAAATCTCATTTAAGCAAATAGAACAACAAATTAAAGCTTGAAGTTATTTTTTTGATTCACAATCTTTAAAAATCTCTCTTTTATCCAATATTTTACATTTGTGACCACAGTCAGTGAGGTAGTTCTGAATGGGGAGGATGATTAGCTTGTGGTTTTGTCCATTTCAGTTGAAGATTTATGACCATCCACATCTGAGGTAATTATTACTTAAATTCATACTTAATGCACCTTCAGAGGGCAAACTATTTGGTGAATATATGCCTAGAGGCAAGGATGCAAAAATACCATTTCAAATACACATTTTTTGCAAGACCTTATTAACTAATGAAGAAATAGCTAAAAGAAACAGGATTTACTTCACAGGAGGGATACAAATAGCATACTTTCCCCCTTCTAGCTAGGCTTACACATATGCTTATTTACCATTATCTCTCTCACTTTATCATGCAACTTCATCTTACTGCAGAAACACAAATCCGTAAATGCTTGGAAAAATGCTGCTTTTTAATGAAACCAGAAATAATGTAAAAAATAATCCTATGCTCAATGTACTAGGCTAAATGCATTTTTTTAAAGGAATGCCTATGCTAAGATGTTTGAAGTTGGCATTAACACTTGGGGAGAACTTTGAGATACATCTTACTTAAGATTCATTTTTTATCTCCCACACCTATTTTTGGAATACTCCATGTCATTCATTGCTAAATGTCAAAAAGATTTGTTTTGAACAAGTGCTTATTAAATTGGTATCCAGTTTCTCCTCGATCTTTCAGTGAAACTGCAGCTCTGTGTTTGTATCACCATCACTAGAGATTGCCCAAAGCTAACTCCGCTATACTCAAGCACTGCTGAACTCTGGGAAAGTTTGTACCTGGATTCAAGCCATGCAGCTGGTCCCTAACTCTATCATGACTGAACCATGTCCTCAGGTCCAAACAGCTTCAAATTTTGGGGGAGGTCAGATCTAAATTGAATTTTGGCTGCTGCACTGGGAAATCTGCAACAAATTCCCGTCAGTTCTGACACATGTTCTGTTGAATCAGTATTAAAAGAGGTGGGAACTCCAGTTCAGACAAAGTTCTCATGCTGAAACATCTTCTATCTCCACTTTAGTCAAACCCATTCTGTAACAAATCTAATTGGCGGTAATACTAGTTTTAGCTGTCAGGACCTTATCTATATTGTGCCTGTCAGCATTTTTAACACCAATTCAACTAAACTAGCATTAAAACTGGTAGAATTTTTGGGGTAAATTACCTCCATGTGGCTAAGACTCATGTCCAATCAATCCGATAGCAGCAGACAATAACATCCTATATATAGTACTATGACTTTAATGACATTAAGTGGAAATATAAACTGTTTTGTATGTCCCCAGACAGGCTTGTGCAGCCCGTATTGCTGCATCTTTACTGCTATTTTAGCCATGCAGGTATGCTGACCCATGCTGCAAATCACATCTCTGATTGCAGTGTAAACCTAGCCTAACAAAACTTCTTTACATTAACCACTGTGCAGCTTCCCCCAAAACTCTGTCGGTGCACCTCCCAAGTTAATGGGGTGCACTGAAGGTCATGGTAAGACTCCCATTAATGTCAGTGGTAATTGGATCAGGTCTCTATTCCAGAATCTGTTTTGATCAGAGACTTTTAGAAGATGCTGCGAACTGTTTGGTGATACTGATCTGAGGGGACTATAAGCCTGCCAAACAGAGCCTCTCTTGTGACCTGATCTGCATCTGACCTCAAACACAGGTTAGTGCATAAACTTATTCCCCCCCTATTATTGCTCATGGTGTCATCCAGTCTTATTAAACTTCTACTTAAAGGAACAGGTGGGTGAACCAAAAAACATTTCATAACAGTAGGACTGTTAATGTATAATGAGTATAAGAAGTATAATGTTGTGAAGGCGTCAAGATGAAGCAATAAAAAAACCTATTAAAATCTTCTGCACTGAAAAATATAATTCTTTTGTTAAAAAGTATTCTAAATTAACTCTACCTGACGCTCAAATATTTAAAAAAACATTGTTTCGCTTTTGTTTTTTTCTCTGATACAAAAATGGATGTGCAAATGTTGTAACTACATGTAAACACAGTGGATGAAGAGTATGCTTGGACAAATATATATTTCTTTTCCCTGCCATATGCTCCTCTTAGTCATCTGTTAGCAATAAGCACTTAGATGTGCTCTACTAATGTCTACTCATTATAAACAAGCACATCACAAAGACCTTGATAAAACCTTCCCTCTGTTAATACTTAAGAAAAGGAAAGCCCAGTAATTGAAAAATACATCTGAACTTGCTCATCGTACTTTAGAGTTAAATCTCACCTCTAGAGATGGAAAGATTTTCTTTATCAAAAGACATCTTTAAATATGATGTCTATTATTTTTCTCGTATATGTGATGTAAGGAGTAAGGACATGTATTACCCGGGGCAATAAAAACCTGCGGGCGTGAAAAATCTGTGAATTTCACCTTTCAGATTTTCCTATGTTCTTCAAAAACTTAAACTTCCATTAAAAATAAAGTTACAAACTAACTCTTTTGGTCCATATGTAAATCACTGTCCTAGTTTGCTATCAGATTTAAACCAGCCCATTGACAGAAGTGTCAACTCAGACTATTTATCTTAATGGGGTGTTAACTTCTGGGTGTTCATGTGATCATTTAGAACCAAATTTTCTCATGAGGCTCACGTATGAAAAATGTACAGAGCTATTGTGCATCCTTA